ATATATATATAGAAGCAGCAAAACTCTCTGTCAACTTAAGTGACGCCACTAAATTTCTTTCATGATGATTACTTGATTGAGCTACATGTAGTGGATGATCACGCTACACGTTAAAACTTGACTTCTACACTATTCTATAAACCCCAACACACCAACATTTGGCCCAACTGTGAACTCGTTCGTGCTTTGCACCCTCCGCTCGAGCCACTGCTAAAAAGTTCTATTCACTCGAAACCGTTAAAATGATACGATCGTGGATGAAGCGGTCAAACTACGCACCGGCTTCACCCCAAATTTAGCACATGCTGCTGTTGAGCGTTTTAGAATATGAGCAGTCAAGTAACGGAACGGCATCAATCCACAATGTCACTAGGCATACCCAATCGAAAACAACCGTGATACAATCACCCAATCGCGATAAGAAACATTCAAGCTGCGAAACGTCACCTATCACTTAAAAACGTTTGCACAGCCAAGTTAACAATTAAGCTCCTACTATAATATACATACTACCTAACCTATACAATACTATAAATAATAAATAATATATGTACTAACCTAAATCCACTTAAAATACTATATATATATATTCTAATTTAGAGTTTATTATTCCTTTTTAGCATCTAAAAGTAGTCTAAATTGATGCTGGTAAAAATAAGTAAGAATTGATTAAAAATATTCAGTTAAGGAATAAAAATTTAAAAAAATATATGATAGCTTTAAAATTATTGTCACAATATAAATTAAAGTAATTGCGTGTAATTTTACTAATAAGTTGGCGCATCAAAAATATATTAGTAACATTTAATTGATAGATGTTTAAATCCATAAAAAGTGATAAAAGACTATAATATAATAGCTTAGCATCGTTTGATTATAATTCAGAAACATTAATCTCGGATGTTAGTAATATTTATAAGGTAAAATAATACAACGAATTACATATGGAGAAACTATCAGAATGTTCAAAGATATCATTCAAAAAAATCAAGTTATTTCCATTGCAAACGATTAAGCGACATAAATAAATCTAAAAAACACTGACTTAGTTTCATTAAAGAATAATTAATAACTTTTTCTCAATCAAGGAAGAATTCTCTATGGAAGATATAAGAAAAATTAGTAAGTATTCATAAATTTTATACTTTGTTCTTCAAATACTAAAGAAATTAAATAATAATACTATAATCTAAAGCAAATTGATAATGAAAATACAGGCATTTAGTTCAGATCTTTGTGAAAAACGATAGGAATAGAGCAAAAATAGGAAGTTAAATGAAAATTAAAATTTATTCTCATTGAAATAGGAAAAAAACCAAAGTCTGTATTTTAAGAAGTTTGTTTTGAACATAAGAAATACACTCGACTTCTTTGTGAAGTTAAATGAGAAGATGAAAGAATAACAAACCTAGGAAAGATAACAATGTAAAAAATGCAACTCCAGTCTGATGTCATAATCAATGTAGATGATGAAGATACTATTCTAGAATTACCCAGAAAAAAGATAAAGGTGAAGAAGGATTGATCTTAGCTCAATTAAAAAATAAAATAGAAGGAATAAAAGACAATATTTCTGAATATTTTATAGAATAGTTTAATTGTTTTGAATGAAACTAGGAATATTTAGAAAGGGGGTTCATGAACTTTTTTAGTACTTTTATATGCTTATGTGTATGATTTTATCATATAAAAATATACTATAGTTAACATTAATATTTAGTTTATAATTTTTATGAAGTCTATTAATGATTAGGAATAATTTTTATATTCTCTTTTGTATCGTTTTAGCATACTTTTAATCAATCACCTTACCTTATTAGTTTTAAATATTCATTTTTCTTGTATAACACTGTCTCAATATTTTTTTATTTTTGCAACACTATACTTTCTCAAGTAAAGCTTGGTTTTAATATGAAAATTTAAATTAGCTTCATATTATATTTGTTTTCTATTAATTCAAATATCAACATGAAAATTTAAGTTAGACATAGTACATTTAAACAAACATCAAAGAACATAAATAATCGCAATGTTAAATTTTAGAGACAAAAGTAAGAACAAACTATTAAAGTGGAACCGATGAACAAACTTTAGTTAGGGGGTGTTAGTCAATTGGGACATTTTCATGTAAAATGGGATAATTGTTAAAATGGAATACTTTTTTGCTAGTGGGATATTTTAGTGAGAAATAGGAACATTTTTGTGAAGCAGAATATTTTGGTAAAATAACATGATAATTTTTTTATAATCATGAAATATATATTTATGCATTTTGAAAATATAAATACTATTTATGTATTTTAAACTTACTATTATTGATTGATAATTGCTTACAAGAATATTCTTTACTATTAAATAACATTTGGTTAGACTATAAGATATTGATAATTATTATTATAATGATGGTCTAATGATGATAATAACCATAATAGGAAAGAAGTAAAGAAAAAAAAATATAAAAAATAAAAAATAACAAAATAAATATGAGTTCTAATTTTTTACCATCTAGTTTCAAGCTAAAACTTGACTAACACTATAAAATTTTATTTTAGTTTTAGTTCTATATGATTAACAGCTTAAAAATTTATCTCACCGTTCCAATTTTAAATTCTAAGTGACTAACCCGTTAGAAAAAAAAAAAAAATCAAAAAATACTTAATCATGTTATCCAACCCGTGCGTAGAAAAAATCTATGGTTGCACGTCTATAGAACCTAGTAATAGAAAAAGGGTCACCTTCCCTCTTCTTCATTTCTAAAAGCCTGAGATTTCTTCGTGAAGAATTTGGGCAAAGATTTCCCAAAAATGGATCAAAACCAGAGGGCTTCAAGGTCCCACCAGCTGCCCACTGCTAAGGCTGCCATAGTTGATCTCTTCAACCTCTATCTTGGAGTAATACCTCTCAATTTCTCCATCTCTTGTCTGTGATTTTGTAAAGTTTTGATTTTTGATGTAGTTTGCTCTTTTTTCTGTTATCTGCAGAGAAGTTCCCGTCAGAGATCTGACGACCCATTAAAGGAAACTTCGTAAGTTGTCTAGCTAGTGATCATAACTGCCCATAGAGTTGATTTTTGTTCATACCCGTATGCTCATTTGATCCATTTATCCACTTAGTATTGTTCACAAGTCTAAAATTTGAGAAATAAATAGTGAACTATTGCCAACAAGTGATTATGCACTTCATATCTGTGCAATTTATGAGTTCAACATCAAAGTATAAAGGCATAATTCTGGAAGCTGTTAAAATTTTATTGGTAAACCATCAAATTCTTGTTAATATACCAATTTAAGGGAATCCCAGTATAATTTGTTAGGGAATTACAATTTTATATTTATATAGAGATGCTCATCTACTGTTCAGAAGTACCCTTAACTCTAAAATACTAAACATTTTTAAGCCTTAGAGCTATAAAGACATTTCAAACAAAAAGGTAGGCAATTGAAGATTTTTAAGCTTGACCAACTTGGAAACGAGAAAAGAATGGTATAATGAGCTGATTGAGTATCTATAAAGTTAAAGTTGGTGTCTGCTTAAATTTCAATAACTTCAGCTCTTTTACCGTTTACTAAAATCATCAGTGAGTAGAAAAATGGGTATAAATGGGGAGCCTCTTTCAAATTTTCTTTGCTCCACTTAGTTAACGGGAGCTAATTCTCTAGAGAATAAACCGGTTTAGATCCATTTAATCCATTCCGAATAAAACCCACAACTGTAAGATTGGGAAATAACAAAACTAAATTCAACCGTATTGTAAGGTTTTCCCCTTCAGATTTAATCCTGAACAAAATATAATCCTCTTTATGATGCGAAGTAGTGATGATTTGATTTCTTGATCCAGAATAACACTAGCAAAAGTAAACCTGTCGTTGATAATAATACAATGGATCCTCTTGACCAAATGACGTGAAACAGATCTTAATTAGCTAGGAATGTCCATCAAAATTTTGAAAAAGTCATTTGACAAACTAATGGGCCTAAACCGATTAACAGTTTTAATACTCTCAACTTTATGATTTAAAAACAATATGAGAATAATTCAGTCTACCAATAGAAACTTTAGTACAAGAGAAGTCATTTAAAAACCATAAAAGATGGCAAAACTCCTGGAAAAGGAAAGTAGAGAATTTGTTAAGACTTGGAACCTTATTGTGTAGCAAGATCAAAAACAACATTTCAATTTTCATCTTTTGGAAAGTATCAAGACCAGTTAAGGAGTCATCACAACCACACAAAAAACCCCAATTCACAAAAAGAACAGATCACATGAAGTACACAAAATCCTTGTAAAACTTACTGAGCATTATGTATAACTTTAATACAATTCATAAAAGAACTGATAACATGAAATACAAAAAATCCTTGTAAAACTTACTGAGCATTATGAATAACTTTAATATCAAATTATCAATAAAGTTTTAGTATTATCCTCACAATGAGTTAGTTTGCTAAACTCACGCCTAATTAACCACTCTGAAAAAATATGTATCACCATCCCTTCCCGTGATCACTAACTCATAATCTATCTTCCTATGTAAATTATTTAGAAATAATAAGGGTTGATAATCTTTATTCCATCTAGAACTTTAATGGTTATGTGATGCTGTTGAATTTGGTAACTGTGATTAGCTTTATTAACTGTGTGGGAAACATTCAGGAACAAGATGCAGAAGAGAGTGACTGCTCCTGTTGGGGAGCTACCCCCTCGAAATGAGCAGTTCCTTTTAGATTTTCAGCAGTTGCAAGCACAGTTTCAAGTGAGCGTTATCTCTGCATTTGTTGACCTTGAGCAATGATGAAGCACCATCTTTAAAATTTTGATTTTTTTTTTCAGGATCAAGAGCAACTCCGTTCTGCAACAGAATCGGTCCTTACATCCTTTGTTGTTCAATGTAGCGGCCATGGACCACAATCGGAATTTATTCTATTTGCGTTGAGGAGTTTGTTTAGCATAGGTTATGTCAAGTGGGATACTTTCCTTCCTTCACTCCTTTCTATGGTTTCTTCTGCTGAGTCATCCGTTGGCCCTGGTAGTCCAACAATTGCAGGGCCAATGATTACATCTCCATCATCTTCATCTGCTCTTCCAAATGCTTCAAGTTTCCAAACTTCTAATCCTACATCCCCCTTGCCATCAATGCATGGTATTGGCTCTCCTGCTCAATCTGTTACTGATCAATCTATTTCCACAACTCTCTCACCAGTTAAGCCATCTGATCATGTTGCCTCACGGGCTAATCAGTTGGTTAAAGTTACTGCTGTAAGTAGTCTACGCCAGCTAGTGTGCAAGATTGTTTTAGCTTCATTCGAATCCAATCTTAAACCGGCTACTGCTTTTGAGGTTTTCTCTAATGTGGTAACTTGGCTGGTAAATTGGGATCAAAAGCAGCAGGGCTGTGACGATGCTGATACTGTGAGAGTTTGGAAGCCTGAGAGGCCATTGCATGAATGGATGCATATTTGCTTGGATGTTATATGGAGGTTGGTTGAGGAAGATAAATACTGCATTCCCTTCTATGAGTTGATTCGTAGTGCGTTGCAGTATATGGATAATATTCCTGATGACGAAGCACTGTTTAGCATCATCCTGGAGATTCATAGGAGGAGAGATTTGGTGGCTACTCACATGCAAATGTTGGATCAGCACCTTCACTGCCCTACTTTTGCTACCCATCGGTTCTTGTCACAATCCTACCCAAATATATCTGGCGAATCAATAACAAATTTGCGTTATTCACCCATAACTTATCCTAGTGTTTTAGGAGAACCGTTGCATGGAGAGGTAATGAAGCTGATTTTTATTCCGTAGCTTCTTGTATCTGTTGGACTTGGTCGGACTTAATCTTCTATTGCTTATCAAAATGGAGTAATCTGGATGCAAGGCTTCTTTATATGCTTATATTCTTTATAATGACCACTTATGTTTAATTTGAAGGCATACCCTTATTCGTGTTATATCCGATACTAATTATAAAATGGCACAACTCTACGGATGCTAGAGGTTACACATTATGCATAAATACTAATTAAATGCATGTACAAGATAGCAATGTCAAGTACTTGGAACCTGTATGTATTATTTTCTATGTAGCACAGACATAGATACACTCTTATTGACAGGACACACATTATTGCCACATAAAGTTATAAAATGTACATAGAAGGACAGATAAATTTCACAGTGTAGACATGTGCAAGGCAGTTTATTTATTTCTTAGCATTATTCAGCGGTCGCTTCTAGAAGTTGATTAGATTTGGATAAAATTCTGGTCAGGATCTTGCAACATCTATCCAGAAAGGGAGCTTAGATTGGGAGCGGGCTTTACGTTGTCTAAGACATGCTCTTCGTAGTACTCCATCTCCTGAGTGGTGGCGGCGTGTCCTTCTTGTTGCTCCTTGCTATAAACCTCCTCAAGCACCATACCCTGGTGCTGTTTTCTCTCCTGAAATGATTTGTGAGGCTGCTCTTGACAGGACAATGGATCTTTTGAAAATGACAAATTCAGGTATTCTGGTAGATTTAATTTTCATGGTGACATAGTTTGCTGTATATTTTCTGTCTTAAGGGGCAAGTGTATTAAAATTAGAATTTTTTAACCTGATTATGACACTCATACATTAATGTTTACTTGTTGAAATCTCATCTCTTCATATGTGCCAAATGATGTGATTCCTCAATACTTTAAAAACACGGTTCAAAGGGAAATTCTTACCTGCACCTATGAAGTCAAAATTTATCTTGATAATTCTTTAGTTATTGTCAATCTTTTTAGGAAATGTACTCACCATCACTTTTCCTTTGAGCTTTATGCTGGACAAGGATTATACAGTTCACTGTGTTAGAGGATTGCAGAAGGGAGACAAAACAAGAGAGGAGGGAAGTGGGAGTATAACATACAATCCTTATGAAAGTGCTACATGGCTTGCCATAGAGAAGGGAAGTGAGAGATGAATCTAAAGTGTTATAAATCTCTGAACTCACACAGAAACCATCGACTTTGAAGTTCCAAGGTTACGTAATGTTAACTTTCATGACATGAATCTGCAATTCTTAGGAAAACAAAATTATTGGAGGTGCAATAATGAAGGCTAGAGAACTTGTCTGATACATGAAGTAAACCATTTTGACTGGACCATAATTTTGACATTTGTTTTGTATATGCATCTGCAGCACATGTAATTCATGTCCTTAAGTTCATGGGTATTTGCATGATGCAGTCTGTAGGCTAAAAGTTCATTACCTGTATTCTTATGTTGGTTCTTTTTTCCTTCATCTTTATGGCTATGTATTGTAAGCAGCCTTCTTGGTCTTGTTAGAGTTTATTTAAGTTAATTAAAGTTCCTTGTTGCCCCTTTTCTAGACTTGATAGCTTGGCATGTCTATTTGTAAATTTACTTTTGCAGAAACACAATGCTGGCAAGATTGGCTTATATTTTCGGACTTGTTCTTTTTCCTCATGAAAAGTGGATGTATCGACTTTCTTGATTTTGTTCACAAACTCTCCTCCCGCGTCAATATGGGTAATCAACAAGTATTACGGAGTAATCATGTGACATGGCTTCTTGCACAGATCATTCGTATTGAGATTGTGACGAGCACCTTAAACTCAGACCCAAAGAAGGTTACTTAATTGTTTGTCTATTTTTTAATTAATTATTCTATAGACCTTACTCTTTCATGTAGGAATTTCTATCATCTTTGTTTTTTTCCTGCCTTTAGGAGGCTTTTTATACCTGGTTTTAAGATTCTGTCTTTTATAAGTCCTAGTCCCTAGACCTTCCTCTCGCCTTTTATGAGTTGGATTATGTTTTTTTCTGCACTATAACATATCTTTTTTTTGTGTCTTAATATTAAATTGTATGAATTCATTTAGCTATTTACATGTAATTTTTTTTTCCATTTACTTTCTTCATCTTTTCAGGTTGAAACTACCAGAAAACTCATTTCCTTTCATAGGGAAGACAAAAATACGGATGGAAATAATGTCAGTCCTCAAAGTATTCTCCTGGATTTTATAAGTAGCAGCCAAACATTGCGAATTTGGTCTTTCAACTCATCAATTAGAGAGTATCTGAATAGTGAACAGCTTCAGAAAGGAAAGCAAATAGATGAATGGTGGAAGCAAGCGACTAAAGGTATTTCTCTTTGTTGTTTGGCCCTGTAGTTTATTTTTTTGGTTTCTCATGTAAATTGCAGTTGACCTAGAATGACTAGAGGATGCTAAGTACTTGTAAAATAAAACATGAAATGCACAAATTCCAGGTGACATTTTGCGTAATTTATATTATAATACACAGATTCACTTTGTACTTTAATGGAGACATTTCATCTTAGGAGACCAGAAGATCAACTTTCAATGCTATTGAAAGATTTTTCTGATATGTTTATGTTGAGTGTTTATATGTCATCGAAATCTAACAAGCTTAAATTACTTCATTGAAATTCACTTCGCAAATTGATAGTGATGAGATACTTTGAGTGTTTAAACTGGCTCAGGTATGTGATCATGAGGCCTTGAATAGGTATTTACAGCTTTACTGCTTGTAGTAGGCAAAAGTTTGCTGTTAATTCTGGTGATATTTTCTTTGTTCTTTTAATAAAAAAAGGGCCTCTACTTTTATTGGAACACCACATTCCTCTTTTCTTCCTTACCTTGCCCTTTTCTCCATTTTTATCCATAATTTATCCCTTTGAGGTGTTACTCCTGTCGAGTACTGCATACAATGAGTACATCTCACCATTTTAGAGATCAAGAATTGAGCCCTAATATGTTTCCTCTTAATGCTGTTAACTGCACTGTGATAAACTTATATAGTTATATGTCTTGTTGGTGTGACATTGTTAATGGAAAATTTGATATGTCCAATTTCAAGTTTTCCTTTTATCGGAAGCAGTCTGTACCAGGATTTGGAATTGTTGGTCATTGTATCCAAGTTTGTGTTTTTATGCATCTAGTCTATATAAAAATATTTAGTTTTGACTTAACTGAGCATGAAAATCTTCAGTGTGCCTTGATGGGTTTATTAAAAGTGGGGAGCCTAGGAAATCTTATTAGCTAGCCCTTTGAATCCAGACTTTCATAATAACATTTAAAACTATTCTTAAAAGGAAGGGTAATGTTGTTGGATGTTTGATCTTGTGCCTTGTTTGAGAAGACCTTACTGTCAATATCTCTTCAGGAATGTAGATAAGTATTTTACGTGACGGATATGAGCAAAAAGCACCCTACCATGTTTTTCTGATTATTGGCCTAGGTTGAGTTGTCCAAGCCTGTAACTCTTGCTTCATAAATTTTATGCCTTAAAGTTGTCACTTATTGACTGTCTTCAATGCATCAGGATTAAATGTCTGCAATGCATCAGGATTAAAAAATTTCTAGAGACGGTAAGTTGTGGTTTGCTGGGGGCACTCTCTACTGCCTAATTTCTTTTGATATGTCCCTTATTTATCTTTCTTTGCAGTCATTTCTAGTTAATTAGCCTTTTATTTTCACTAAATCATAGTAATAGTTCAGAAAACTTAGTCATATCTTGCCCTGTTCTGGCTCCTCCACCCCCACGAAATAAATCCCAGTCCCACACTACTGATATCGCTCATGATTAGCACGCTATGGTTGGTGGAAAAAATTAGATATCAAATATATACGGTATTGTATTATTGTTTACAGTGCTTAACTCAAGTTTTCTGACACAAGTGCAGTATGTAAATGTTTTTTTTTCCTTTTTTCTTTTTGTTCATTTAAAAACTAGCTCTGTGCTAATAGCTCTAGCAGTTGTCGTTTGTATGTCATAATGCATCTGGATATATAATTAGTTTGAGGTTTGTTACTCTTAGTTGGGGTACTTTGCTTAAGAAATGAAGGTCGAGATGATTATGTCCTCTTTATCTGTATCTGTTAAATGTATGTGAGTTAAATTGAGCAATATGTTGAATTTGAGTAAGTTGCTTTGCCTTTTATCTATCCCTTTAGTTTCAAAATGGACAGTTTTTGTTATCATGTATATGGCTTCTCGCCTTTGGTCATTTATCCTTCGATATATTTTATTAGTACATTGTTAAAAGACTTGCCACTCACTTTTCTCAGGAGAGAGGACAATGGATTTCATGAACTTAGATGATAGGTCGATGGGTATGTTCTGGGTTCTCTCATTTACCATGGCACAACCAGCTTGTGCAGCAGTTATGAACTGGTTTACCTCAGCTGGAGTTACAGAAATCCATCAAGGGCCAAATGTGCAGACCAATGATAGAATGATGATGATGCGTGAAACTTGCCCACTTTCTGTGTCCTTACTTTCTGGATTATCAGTCAACTTATGTTTGAAACTTGCCTATCAACTTGAAGAAGTAATATTTCTTGGGCAGGTACTTGACTTTTACTTAAGCTTTTCTGAAAGGTCAGTACTAATTCTTTTGGCCTGTTTTAGAATTGTACTTGTTACTGAATCTCCAATATTCAGTTAATCTGGAATATCTAATTTTATATCAACTATTGAGACAATTGTTCATAGTCTTCCTCTTAGTTTTTAGCTTAAAAACGTATTCAGTTTATCCTCTATTTCATATGCTTTTTTACTTTTGATCGTATATATATATTGAGACTCTACTTTGATAGTTTTGTTGTTTGGTGCATTGTTTCTCAGGTTATTCCTAGCATTGCAATGGTTGAAACGTATGTTCGGTTGCTGTTGATCTCACCTCACTCATTATTTCGTCCACATTTCACGGTATATTTTGGCATTCTTTATCAGTATATAAATTGCTCTGGTTGATGATCTAATATTTTTATTTCCATAGAACTTTTAAGTCATGCTCTGGTTGACAGTGTTAAGGAATAAACTATAGAGATCTTTAATGTCATAGTTATATTAGGAATATGTGGTGGAGATATTAGGGATGTGATTGAGAGAATAAAGAAATATGCAAATTGAGTCTCTAATTTCCTGATAATCATTTTCGATATGGTATCGGGCCACACAAAACCTGGCCTCTACAACCCAACCTCTAGAATACCCTATGCCCTCACAAAAGCCAACCCCCACCCCTCACCACGAAAACTCATCTTCCTTCCTTCCCTTTACCTTCCCTAGTACTGTTCACCCAGGGACATTTATGCGGTTAATGTTCATTTATGAAATAGTACTGGAGTTCCTGTTCATGGTGAACAGTGTCTCGGATCCTTGTTGGCCCCCCTATTGATGGCATTGCCGATGATCAAAATTGCCATCATTAGTAGCAATAATCGTCCTCAATGTACATGTCCTTGTCGTCATCTCCGCCTCCTTGATTTGCCTTCATTCACACTGCCCTATGCAACTTGTCGGCATCTTCAGCCGCCATCATGTCTTCTTGCAATCTTGAACACCATTAGCTATAGGTAAAAAAAAGGAAAGAAAAGAAAGGAAAGAAAAAAAAGGAAAGAAATAAGGACACTAAAAGAAGAGGAAAGTATAAAAAAGAAAAGGTAAAGCACATGAAAGAAAAAAAAGGAAGGGGAAAAAGATTTTGATTGAATTAGGATTTTATTTGGAGTTTGGTTTATAGTTGTTGGAGTTGGATTTCATAGTGTTTTGATTTACTTTGTATCTTTGATGTTGGATTTGAACTTCATTATGGATTGGTTGATTTATGAGAAAGGAGGGAAGGTGTTTGGTATTTGGTTGATTTGAAAGGATAGTAGAGTGGTTCTAGTTGACATATTTTGAGATATTTTGAGATTGATGAAGAAAACATTGTTTTGTTGGTCTGTTTGTTATATTTCGAAGATTGGTTAAAATGAGATTGTTCTATTGGTTTGTTTGGTGTTTGGTTCGGTGAAAATTGTCTGATTGGTTCGCTTTGGAGATTGATTCCGTAAAGATTGTTCTCTCAATTTATTTGTTTGGTGGATTCCTAAGGAAGAATTATTTGTTTGGTAGATCCCTAAAGAGGGATCATTTATGTGGCAGATCCATGAGAATGCTCATTTGTTCGTTAGATCCATGAAAAATATCATTTGTTTGTTAGATCCCTGAAAGGATCATATGTTTGGTGAATTTATGAGAAGGATCATTTTTTTGTTAGATCCCTGAGAGAATTATTTGTTTGGTGGATCCTTAGTGAGAATCGTTTGATTGATGGATCCTTGAAGAGGATTATTTGTTTAGTGGATTCTAGAAGGGAGCTTTTGTTTGATGGAACGCGAGAGTGGATCAGTTGATTTAAATTCAAGTGGAAGATACGAAGATCAAGGCTATTGCAAAGAGGTCACATGCAGAATAGTTTGAGTTTTTGAGTTTCATTGCATATTAGAGTGTGCACTTTATTTGTAACATATCAGACATGTATGATATGCATGCCCTGGCTTGAGGGGGAGTGTTAAGGAATAAATTATGGAGATCATTGATGTTATAGTTATATTAGGAATAATATATTAGGAATATGTGGTTGAGAGATTTTAGTGATGTGATTGAGAGAATAAAGGGATATGCTGAGAATATGTTTAGCATATTCCTAATAATATGTAAAATGTGTTTATTTTCTATTAGTATAAATATAAAAGATCAACACAGGTCTAGAATTGAGTCTCTGATTTCCTGATAATTATTTTCAGCAGACATATTGCTTTTATGTTGTTGTCAGTGCATTGTCTTCTGTCTTCCAATCACTTTTATATCTATATTCTATTATACTTTTTTGCATCTTATCTCTGATTATATATTCTATTATGTCTATATGGGCAGGCTGCATACTTCAAGATGTTGAATATTTCTTTCAGATCTATTTTTTCTTTTTTTCAAAATTAAGCAAATTTCGTTTAGAACAATGAAGAAGAATCAGAATCAATTTGAGGGGTTGAAAGAATAATCGCGCCCAACATATACAATTATCAGAGGTATTCATAACTTAGAAGTGTCTCGAACCATGCACTACTGGCAACTTCAGTCAATAGAGAGAATTTGAACTCTTAGAATCTTTTTTTGATCCCCATACAACAGATCTAGAGGCTTTCCACACCCACCGCCCTTCCCACACACACCCCACACGCACCCGCAATGCCCACACACACGCGCACACACACACTGTTACATTTGAAAAATCTGTCACTGCTTTAGAGAGAGAGATACTGTTATTTTGAAAAACCTGCCTTTAATTTTTGACAGCGAGAAAGGGAAGGCGCGCAATCACACAGTTATGTTTGAATAAATCTACCTTAATTTCAAGAGAGATTATATATATATATATATATATATATATATATATATAGAGAGAGAGAGAGAAGGAGAGAGAGAGGAGAGAGAGAGAGAGAGAGAGAGAGAGAGAGAGAGAAACTTATGTTAACTTAAGTGGACGCTCTACTAAGTTTTCTTAGTCATTGATGATCACTTGATTAACATACATTGTGGATGATCCGTTCCGTTGACTTGATCTACAATATTCCTAAAACCCCAACACAGCCAAATTTGGGGTAAACCTGTCGTGATTTGATCTACATGGCTCGACGGAGGGTCAAACCACGAACGGGTTCACCCCAAATTTGGTGTGTTGAGGTTTTAGAATATGTAGATCAAGTTCAACGAGCGGATCATCCACAATGTATGTCAATCAAGTGAATCATCAATGACTAAGAAACTTAGTGGACGTCCACCTAAAGTTGACATAAGTTTTTTTCTCTCTCTCGTCTCTCTCTCTATATATATATATATATATATATATATATATATTATATATATATATTATATATATAATATTATAATATATATATATATTATTATATTTTTATGTTTGAAAATCTGCCTTAATTTCAGAGAGAGATAACCGGGCGCGCGCGCATGCATACACAAATTGTCATGTTTGAAAATTCTGCCTTAACACACCACGCGTGACACTGTTACATTTGAAAATCTGCCTTAATTTCAGAGAGAGATTACCGGCCGCACACACGCTGCTGTGTTTGGAAAAATCTGCCTTAATTTCAGAGAGAGATTACTGGGCGCTCGCACACTCATATTGTTATGTTTGAAAAATCTACTTTAATATCAGAGAGAAATTACCAGGCTTTATTTATACCATATCAAGTTTGAAGGAACATAGTACGTTACAACCTTTTTGGTTAATACCATATCACAGATAAAGTGACAACCAACTTCAATATGTTTAGACCTTTCACAAAAAACTGGATATATACTGCTTGTCACAATTCATCGTCATTGGCGAGAAAAAAAACAGCAACTATGAAAAAAGAGACCAAACCCATGTCATCTCACAAGCAATGTGAGCCATAGCTCATCATTCAGCCTTAACACTGGACTATGCAACAACCATCTCTTTCTTACTTCTTTAATTGACATAATTCCACCAACAAATATACAGTGGCCATTAATGGGTGATGCAATCTTGAGTGTGAATCCTGAAATTTTTTGAAAACTTTAACTGGCATGAAGTCATTGATTCAGGTATGGGACCAAATTATAGGTGAGATTCATGTGATGTTAAAGGAGTGATTCCAAAAAAATTGAAAAAGTTGAAATACGTATCCCTGTAATGTTGGGTCGATAGAGTTTTGCATCATACCTACAAGCTTCCCTTACTATTCTTCAGTTTAATACTTGTTAGATTTGATTTTTCTGCTGAAGGATTTTTCTAAATTTACATAAATACGCATATTGAGCAATTAATTTCACCTTTTTTTGTTATCCTGACATTAATTGTATCCCATTCTCTTCCCTTGATTTTCAATCATTCATTTCCTATGTATTTTCTCACGATAGTTTATTATTTTACAGACACTGATCTCAAGATCTGCATCGCTGTTCAGCAAAACAAATGTTTTGATATTGCTCTTAGAAATATTGAACTACCGATTACTTCCTATATACAGGTATTCACGCTTTTTTTCCCCCTTGTGACTCAACCAATATCATTCAAGAGTTTGTTGGTTGTATGTTATCTTGTGAATTACAGATGCTGGCTTTATGCTTCTCTTAAATTTATAACTTCAGATGAACTGCTACTCTGTGAAGCCTTGACTGCTTTTACATCTATCTGTTGATATAGTGGCAAAGATGATAAGTTTTCTTGATGACTGCTTTTACATTTACCAATTGATATAGTGCGGAGAAATGATAACTGCTCTTTTTTGTATTTTAGTGTTCCTAGATTTTTATGATTGATCTTAATTATCTAGGGCTACAACAGAGTTCTATACTGGCCACTGACTTTCTCCTTGGATAAGATTATAGGCTTTCATTGAACTTTATGGCTCAAACAGGTCATTATTACTGTTGTTTCTGAACAGTAGGAGTTAATGTATCCCTTGAATTAGTTGGTCGAAATACTAGGATCTTAAAGATAGACGAATGAGATAAGTTAGCTGATATCTGCAACGGATAAAATTTAGTGAAGAGATTTTATTTTGCTTGGAGAAGTGAAATGGATAATATATGGTGACAGAGAGTATAGTTGATGGTATAAGGCTAGAAAGGAAAGAGGTAAAACTTTCAAATACATAGCATTCGGGGACTGTAAATGCATATTATAGTTCGTAAGTTTTTATAATATTGTGATTTTGTTTACATTTTTTACAAACACAATAGGGATGATAGCGTATTTAATGAAAACTAACAGTTTCTGTATAAAAACTTGACATCTTGATTATACTATATTTTTACATGAGATTACTTGATTACCTATAATTTACGGGGTTTACTGCCGAATTATATATAATTTAGACCACTGAGAAATATTTTGAAGTTTGCCAATATTTTTCAAAATGTAGTTTTTTGACTATGCAAAAATCTAATTCTTGCTTTCAGTTAACCTTCTCATGAGATTTTGGCCTGAAGTTGTTCAGAATTTATATTAACTGGGCGGTGTGTCAAAGTTGGTGCAGGTTGACTACTGGTCGGGATTCACTATTTAGTGGGAAATGGCTTAGGCTATTATAATGATTGTGATCTAGCAGTTGATATATGCCGATCAGCTACATGTACGGGGGACTTTGTTGGAGGAAAGAGAGGAATGAACTATTATCCATTCATATTATATCCTAGATGTTATTGGGAAACAAACTAAGAAAATTTAAGAACATCAGTTGAAGAAATTCCAGGATATACATTTTGACATATAATTAATAATAGGAAAAAACAAACTAACAAAATATAAGAAAAAGAGCAGAAAACCTCATCAATTGAAAATCTATAATATTAAGTTATGAAGAAGCAGAAAACCTCATCAATTGAATTAATGGTAATAATATTTTTTCTGTGATGGATACTTATATGCTCCTTACAAGTTGAATCAGTTAGGCGTAGGAACATTGTTGCATCCTGGTGTTAATGGAACGTCTTATATGCATCCACTAACCAATTGCGATCGTAAAATTGGATATGTTGTCTTTTTAATGTGAATATTGGTGATTATATTTATGTTCCTTGAATCTCAGTTTCGAACTCTGCCTGCTTGCAACATAGTAGACCATATTTCGGATGCATTTTGGTGTCAAGAACTTATTACAGTTCCTTGGTGTATGCACAAATAACTAATAAAATTCATATTATTCATAGTCCTAGTTTTCCACTTACGAGTGGTATGCATTTTTCTGAAGCATATGTTTAACTAGATTGCCTCAGTTTTATGCTTTCTGATTCACAATAATCATTATCAGTTGGTATTTATTAATTATATGGGCATGTCCTTGAATCTGTTCATCATTGTGGAGCTCTTACTCTGTAGGTACCATGGGAAACATAAGGCATTGATGTATGATGTTACCAAAATTATTTCTATGCTTAAGGGTAAACGTGGAGATCATCGTGCTTTTAGATTGGCTGAAAACTTATGCATGAATCTTTTGTTGTCATTAAGGGATTTTTTTATGGTGAAGAAGGAACTAAAGGTCAGCTTATAACTGGATCCTAATGTTTGACGGTTTATGCTTTATTTATTTATTTTTTTGACATGGACTCGATTCTGAGATTTACTCTTTTAGTTGACTGATTTTGTTTAATCTGTTGTTTCAGGGACCAACTGAATTCACCGAAACAATTAACAGAATAACAATAATTAGCCTTGCAATCACCATCAAAACTCGTGGCATTGCCGAAGTTGAGCATATGCTTTACCTCCAGCCTTTGCTAGACCAAATAATAGTAACCAGTCAGCATACATGGTCGGACAAGACAGTGAGATACTTCCCTCAGCTTATTCGAGATGCCTTAGTAGGAAGGCAGGACAAGAGAATTCAGGCTATCCAAGCATGGCAACAGGTTAACTTGTTGTTTTAACTTATTGGATTCACTGACTAAACAGGGTGTCAAGGATAACTCATTATTTTATTGCAGTGCACAAGGATAACTCCTATTAGTTGCGTATCTTTATTGATAGCACCTCTCATTATCTTTTCTCTTTTTCACTGTAATAGTTTCTTCAGATTTGTATTGTTTCTAGTTTTATGGCTGTTTGATATTAGCATAGGTCATTTTAATGTGTTCTAAAGAAACATTTTTTGGTTCACCAGGCTGAGACGACAGTGATTAATCAGTGCACTCAACTTCTTTCACCCTCAGCTGATCCGACTTATGTTATGACTTATCTTAGCCATAGTTTTCCGCAACATCGCCAATATCTGTGTGCTGGTGCTTGGACGCTTATGAATGGGCATCCTGAGAGCATTAATAGTGCAAATCTCGTAAGCCCTGCTTCATCCACCTGCTCAAGTAACTTTTATAAATATTTTTACATTTTCGTATCTTGGAGTCTAATTTTCCATGTTTGAATCAGGGGCGTGTCTTGAGAGAATTTTCACCTGAAGAAGTGACATCTAATCTATACACTATGGTGGATGTCCTTCTTCATCAAATTCAGATTGAACAACAACGGGGACATATTGTGAAGGTCTGGTTTTAGTTATTGTCTTATTCATCCCAAAAATAAATAAATAAAAAATAAGTAAATAAAAATAAAAAAAATAAAAATAAAAAATAAAAATAAAAAACTTCTTTTACTTGCTCGAATTATGGATTATACTCCCTATCATATTCTTATATAAATTCTTTCTTTTTTACTTAATCCAGGACCTTCAGTCAAAAGTGATTGCCAACCTTGCTTTTTTCATTTGGACGCATGAGCTGCTTCCATTAGATATTCTGCTTTTAGCTCTAATTGACAGAGACGACGATCCTTATGCTTTGCGCATTGTGGTATGAGCTTTCAGTTAAGAATTTAGAAGTGTAAGAGGACACTGTTTTCTGTAATGCATGTGAAAGGTCTAAATTATCTTACTTTTGGGTAGAGGGATTGATTTCATCTATTATTTTCAAACAATCAAATGTGCCCCATGCCTGAATATCTTACAATAGATTCTCGCTTAACCTTGACATTCTTTGTTGTTACTTGTTAATAGTGCATATACTGGTCCATTCATTTGTTCATTCTCATATATATATTTGCTCTGATTTATCGGGTACATGTTCAACTGATGCACACCAAATTCCTGCCTTTACACAGATAAGTTTGCTTGACCGAGCAGAGCTTCAACAAAGGATTAGTCTGTTCTGTGCAAATCGTAGTTCTCCTGAGTATTGGCTTAATGACCAAGTGCCAAAGAGAGTGGATCTTCAAAAAGCTCTTGGAAATCATCTTTCATGGAAGGAACGGTGAGGGTTGTACTTACATCTGTTCACAGTTATCTATGATGGTCAAAAATTAATCTTCATCTACTAGTGGTCTTCTGCTAGGCATATCGCTGTTGTTTATTCCAATCTACTACTAGATTTGCCAATTCAAGAGGGAATACTTACTTGCCATATTATCCTAATTGCAGGCATCCCCCTTTCTTTGATGATATTGCTGCACGTCTGATCCCAGTAATTCCACTCATTATATATAGGCTAATTGAGAATGATGCCACTGATATTGCTGACAGAGTTCTTGCACTTTACAATTCAATTCTGGCATTCCATCCATTCAGATTTACATTTGTTAGGGATATACTGGCATACTTCTATGGTCATCTTCCAAGCAATCTCATTGTACGAATAATTAAAGTTCTTGATATTTCTAAGGTAAGAATTATTTATGTTTAAAGGACCTTTTTCTATTTGTTGTATTACTTTTAATCATATCTTAAAAAAACTCAGATTCCCCTCTCGGAGTCATTTCCTCAGTATCTTAATCCATCCAATCCTGCCACTCCTTCAACCGACTACTATGCCTCTCTTTTGTTACGTCTTGTGAATGATGTTATACCTCCTTTGTGTGGTAAGTCTAAATCAGAGACCACAGGGGACCCTTCTGGAAATTCTTTACGTCCAACATACAGTAAATCTCAAGCATCATCCCAGTCTGGTGGAAATAACAGTTCTGATGGTCAAAGAACATTCTATCAAAACCAAGATCCTGGAACATACACACAAGTTGTCTTGGAAACGGCAGTCATAGAGATCCTTTCACTTCCAGTAACTTCATCTCAAATTGTGTCATCACTTGTTCAAATTGTTGTGCATGTGCAACCATCACTAATTCAATCAAATAACGGATCTTGTGGAATTGGCCAAAATCCCGGGTTACCAACTTCTCCATCAGGTGCTAGCACTGAATCCTTTGGTACAAATCGTGCAACTCCTTCAGCACCTGGAGTTCTTGCTGCTAATTTTGTGTCAAAAAGTGGATATTCTTGCCAGCAATTGTCTTGTTTGATGATTCAAGCATGTGGCCTTTTGTTAGCACACCTTCCACAAGAATTTCACATGCAGCTCTATTGTGAGGCATCACGAATAATAAAAGATTGTTGGTGGCTCAGTGATCCTAAAAGGTCAATGAAGGAACTGGACTCTGCTGTTGGCTATGCGTTGCTGGATCCAACATGGGCCTCTCAAGATAATACATCAACTGCCATAGGTATAAATTTTCTTCATTAATATTTCTTCTGATATCCAATGTATATATGATCTTATATGATATTTTACGCAGCACAGGTATAAATGTAGGTGTTAACAATCTTTATCTTCCATATCTTTCCTTTTCTCTGTGACTGTCATTTTTGTTAATACTCTCTATGTCGCTGCTCAATTAAAATTCATGAGATTCTTTTACTTAAACTTTTAATTAATTTACTTCTGAGTGTGACGCTATGCAGTTGTATAACTTATGGGAGTATTGTTTTGCTGACTGTTTCAGGTAATATTGTTGCCCTCTTGCATGCCTTCTTTAGTAATCTTCCTCATGAGTGGCTTGAATCAACGCATACAGTCATCAAGCATCTTCGTCCAATAACTTCAGTTGCAATGATGAGAATAGCCTTCCGCATAATGGGCCCATTGCTACCCCGTTTGGCCTTTGCCCGACCGCTCTTTATGAAGGTATGCGGATTCTTTTTTCTTTAGTGATTCTTTCTGAGCACACATTGTTTATAGATATGAACTATCATGTAGTGTCATTAACAAGATGTTATTGCCTACTTCAAGATTTTCAGATAAAGGCCTAGATGATTCTATATTTACTTGACGTCTTAACATGCTACTTGCCCCAAATTATCAGTGTGGCCTACAATTACACTATTACTTTCCTTAATGAAGTTGGTAAATCTATTTAGATGTTATAGATTCTTTAAATGACTCATTAAATGATCATTTGAGTCGGTTTCTCGAACTAAAGTTCATTGGAGTTTTGTTTTGGGTTATCCTATGGATGGTGGGCTCTGTTCATCTTGATGTACATGCCTTGAGTAATCGAAGGATAAATCAAATAGAGATTTATCCTTCCATATTTCCAACAGATCTTATGATGTGCATGCATGCTGTTGTTACCCAACAACCTATTTTCGAGGATATTGAATCTGATTTACAATATTGACATTGATGTTGATCTCAGTGATGCATCGTTACTTACATGGCCATTGCTGCAATAATAATTTGCCAAATGTTGTGGAATTACTAATAAGATGACAGTTGCACAACAAATTTCCCAAATCATTAAATACTTGTGTTTAACCTAAATAAGACGTTCTTGTTCATCCTAAGACCTAATCTCATAGAAATTTTACGTGACCCAATAACAGGACTAACTATTAAAGATCATTGTACCCTGAATCTGAGTAACCATGGAATATTAAATACTACTTGACCCAATAACAGGAAAAGTCATGCACTAAATGTTCCATTTCTAGTTTCTTGTATCTTTGATTGATTTATCTATTTAATTAAGTTTGTCCGGTTTTGATTTATCTATTTAATTAAATTTGGCCGGTTTCTTCGTGGGTTTAGGGTCTATCATCTTTTTCCATTTAAATTTTCTTTAACTTAGAATGTATGTGTTTTTTTATTAGACATTAGCACTGCTCTTCAATGTGTTGGCGGATGTATTTGGAAAGAACTCGCAACCCTCAACGGCTACCGAGGCATCAGAAATAACAGATATTATTGATTTCTTGTAAGTACACTTTATGACGAATCATCTTGTTCTCTGTATACATAAATTTCCATAAATTAACATTTCTTAACTTTTTTTTATTTAGACATCATGCTGTGATGTACGAAGGACAAGGAGGTCCTGTACAGAGCACGAGTAAGCCAAGAATCGAGTGCCTGACTCTTTGTGGAAGAATGGTTGATCTCCTTCGGCCAGATGTTGCACATCTTTTTATGCATTTAACTACAGATCCAAGCTCTTCTATATATGCAGCCACACATCCTAAACTGGTGCCAAATCCAACCTAACAGTGCACATTTGTGTCGCTCGCTACTGACAGACTTCTAACGAATCATGTAAGGTTTGTCAAATACGCTCTGTATATATGAATTAGGATGTAAATGACTGTAGCATCGTGAAAAGTTCTCGCTAAGAATTACACGAAGCAAACATCATTTTAGCAAATGAAAGAGTTGTTTTGTGTCATCTGTTTTATGAATGGTAGTCCCCAGTTGGAAGAACTAGAAAAGAGGGGACTTCAATAGAAAGCTAGGTCCATTTTTAATAGCATGAGATTTTGGGTTAATTTGGTTCTTAAACTTCGGTTTAAAACCGTTAAACTGTCTATGATATTGGTACCTACTTAACCTCCCTGTGGCTGTAGACTTTGGGAGAGCAAGAGTATGGCTCACGTCGCAGCAGTACCTAATAGGTTAAGCTTCTGGGTTAATTTGATCGAGACCAACTTGACTTTTTTCTGCTGCGTTTGTCTTATGAGGATAGCATTCCTCTTATATCAATACCATACGATTCCCATTTGAAAAGTCCAGGTGGACGGTCTTCATTCGGCAGATTCAGTTCAATTTTTCAGGAAACAACATGAATCATCAGTGGAGAAACAAGAGCATTTGATCATTATAGATGGCTGCTATCTTAAGACAAGTATGTATTCTTGTTAGGGAGACCATCCTTGCTAGTCACCCGAGGGGGCGACAACTAATCATGTGTCACCGTCTATTTTCACCAACTTGATCATTTCTCAGATTTCTTGGTTAAAAGGACTTCGAGGACAATATTTCATCTCTATGCTTTCTTGTTTGATGAATGTGGTATGAATGAGGTGGGCATAGTTTGGTTGGTATAAACCTCCTGATAGTAACATAATGATGATAAATACAAACGAGGAAAGGTATAGTTGAGCTGCATATTTGACAACCTACGTGTTCAAAATATCATAAACAAACGCATGGGGATCTCCATTGGAGTTGGAAAAGGTCTGTTGAGATGAATTGACTATTTAATATCAAGATGTTGTTTGGATACTTGTAAATATCAAGTATGTCACATACCGTAGATTTACATTGGAAATAATATAGTTCTAGAGCTTTCGAGCTGTAGAAATGCGTTCTTCTTCGAATACTCCTGGAAGTATTCCAATAATCTTTGTGATTTTATCATACACGATGACTGTTTAGGTTTGGTATCTATAATTGGTCATGATTTTCTTTCGAAAACAATGATTCTTATAGCAGCTAGAAAATTAACATCTGTAGTAGTAATTGCTTAGACTCTACTGTTGTGCTTGTGGATTGTAATCAGACCTTGATGTATGTGATCTCTATCTCTAGTACGAGAAAGGGTCAATTAAAAGTTTTCTTGTCACAGAGGAGAAGAAGGAACATGCAATCTTGAGAGTGGGCCAATTAGGTCCCTGCCAGCCAAAGTTCACTCCATTGCAAGGTAAGTCCTAGGACACTGTCTTGAGTAGAGTAGAGGGTACTGTTAACAAAATAGATTAGTCAAGTCCCTTTATGGTTATAATCAGATTCATAATTTGCCAAGTTACGCTTATATATCTTCCCTCCTACATCAAAACCAAAACTTAGAAGTGACGTGTCGGGAATTAATAGGGGTTGTAATTTTTACTTTATGCTCTTAACATGTTCTCGTGTGGATTGTCTTTTCATGGGCTGAAACCTCAACTCACGCAACAATTTTTATTTTTATTTTTTTTTTTTAAATCTCCTTCAAATGCGACGTCAAATGGATTTGAATCTATATTGCCATTATTCGATCTTCAGATTTCCTTCCGTTACGTTGACATGAGAAAGTTATCCTGAGGGTTAGAGTACAAACTCTAAAACAATTTCTCTCCCTTCAGACACTTGTTATCAATTAAGTGAAGATATAGTAGATAGTCTTGCCGTTCTAAAACCATTTTCTTGTTGGAATCACAAAAGTTTGGGAAATAAAATCTTGGCTCTTACACGTTAAGCAAGGGGTTATCTCACATTTGGTCGTAGTTCAATTTGACAACTCAATAGCTTATCGTAATGAGTATAATACGCAGCGTTATTAAGGGGCTAATCAGAGTTAAGTGAAGAAGCAAACTAGAGGGGGGTTCTTGCGTGATGTTATTCTTCACTAACTAGAGGACTCGCTCTTTTGTTTATCTTGCTAACTCACGCAATACTATGAGCAACACTTTCATGTGCTAGTTCTATTAATCATGTCTCTGTCGACCAACTTTCGTAATATTCGTGTTCTTAAAATAGAATAATTATGTGTAACATCTATTTACGGAGAGGATCTATATAAGGTGTTATTGGACAACGAATTAAGTAAACGCCTCCTCAATGAGCCAAACACAAAAAAGTGTTGAAAATATAATCCTGTTTATTTATAAAGAAAATAATAAATTATTTATTTTCCCAATTGTTGAAAAGAGCTATAGAATTGAAATTATTATTAACTAAATGCATTAACCAAGTTGAACTTCTTTATTACAAATGGAGTAACTAGTTTTTGGATGAAAGATTTTTTTAGTCTCTTGGTACTTTTGAGACAGACAGTATGCTTTGACTCTAACTTGGTCAAATTAAGTAAAGATTAAGATCATTATAAAACTCAAATTATCATCCCAAACTTAATTAGTAGCCATTCAAATCTTTTCAGTCAAACTATTATCTGTTTGACCGACTTGTTACGTTATTTTGATAAGAAGAAACATTGAGAAGATTATTTTGAATAAACGAGTTACAAAATCTCCTTTCATGAGGCTAGTTTGCATGAAACTGATATATTCATTAAATACAACATCCTCTAACATTTTTTTAATTCATGCTTGACTATGAATCTTTACTTGAAATATGTTCGAGTGTATTTTTAACAAAAAATAAATTACAATTTTTTTAATAAATGATACTAATTATGGATGACAGTTTTGTAATTTATCCTTTTGACTGATCTAGTGTGGAGCTTAGCCATTTGATAATATACATATATACAAAGATAATGTCAGACTAGAAATTAGTCAGTAGCTTCGAATTGTGTCATGAGATTACTCAATGCATGCATGCACGGTTCTAGATATGCTTCAAGCACACTCACATTATACTACAGTTTGAATAAATAAAAAATCATGATCTTTTGCCTATAGTTTTTTCTCCTTGATTTTCATAATGCAAAGACTCAGAACACTCTTCGTCTCCCAAGAAGGCATCCAAGCATTGGGAGCACCAAGATTGCAGCTTAATCTTGGCATCCAATTTATTTGGTCTTCATGGATGACTTGTGACTATTTAAATTATACTTCATTCTCTTTCTATTGCTTCAATATTGATCATATCAATACATAGAGTACTTCTGCTATCTTTGTTTCCAGAATGGCAAGTGCTAGATTGAGAAGACATGACCAAGATCATGAGCCGAATAAGTTTCTCTTCAGTTGATTTTGGCAAAGCTAGCTTCAATTTGACTAACGTTATCAATTATTAATTATTAATCCTGATTTGCTTATTTAGTGCAAACTAATATTTGTTCAAAGCGAGGTAATTAATTGAGGCAAAAAATATGGTTTTTTTTTTGGGGGTGGGGGGATGGAATAGAAATATTATATGCATTTTCTATTTAGTATGTGTTTTAGTCTTTTAGAGTAATGTTATATATATCAAAGTTTTCATACAATAGAATTTTGTTGTAGCTAGGCACATATAACAGTTTATGCGTTTATCATTTCTATTACCATCAGTAGACCTTTTTTTCATTTTAATATTATAAAGTTTCATTTATTTTTTTAACTTTTTTGTGTTACTTTTTTTTGTTTTTATGAAGTTTCATTTATTTTTAACTTTTGAGAACAGCTATTTTAAACTTGTCAAAATAGTACTCCAAAGTTTCACCTAGTTTACGCTTTGATGCCTTATATTAGTTAATTGTCATAGATTTAGTTGGAATTAGATCCCGGGAATATCTCATGAGCTATTTTGAACATATTTATCCTTGTTTTACAGAGAAAATCTCTGAATCCGCCTTCTTCTTCTGTTCTCGTCTATTTAAATGACCATTAAACTGATAAAGATGCCATTCTAGTTCTCAACGACAAGCTATCAGTAGGCTTATCTTTTGGTCAAACTAGCTTTAAAGCTAGTTTTTTTTATTTCTAACCGTTTGATAAAGTAATAAATAAGTTAGCTTATAAGTATCATTTTCAAAAGCTAATGTACCTCTGCTTTTAAAAAACTAGCTTAAGAGCACATCTATACGAGCTAGGTTTGCCCAAACAAATTACTATTCTACCCAAATAATTTTAATAGTACTTTTATCATAAAAACCAAAAGCAACTAAAAACCTATATAACAGCTGAAATTTAAACATTGTTGGGTTAAACTAAAAACAGCTGCAATTTTAGAATATTTACATACAGGGTTATTGGAATTACTAATTAAGAGATCGATGAGACCGACCACAAATATCTATTTGAGCTAATTGTTTGAAAATTCAAATATGCTACTAATTTCAATCAGGCTAAATGCAAATAGGCTACTAATAGGCTGGGGCTAAATGCAAATTAGTGATTATAAAAATAAGGGCTGGGATGATTTTTTTTTTTTAAATTATGGGCCACGTATTGTCATTTTAAAAGGTTTTTAAAGGCAATTTCGAAATTGATGGGAGTGCAGATGCACAGCAAATTGATAACATGCATCCGCTCGTGATTGCACATAGATCCTATGTTGCATTGCGCTTTGGAATTTCTTATTCACATAATTGATTTTGGTAAATTTACCCCGCATGATTTTTTTTGACTTTTTTTATCCCGTGTGAAATTTCCCCAAATAATTAAGGATGTTAGTGAAACTAGTGAGTTTATATCTGCCAAACTCAAATTACATATAGAATTGGTGAGTTTTCAATTGCGATATTGCAAGGGATCTATGTGCAATTAGCTAATCCTAAAACGAAAGGACTCTTCTGTCTGTCTCTCTCTCTCTCTCTCTCTCTCTCTCTCTCTCTCTCTCTTTTCTTTCCCCCTTTTTTTCGTTCTTATTTACTTGTCATTGATTTCCCCAATGCTTTAGCTTGTGCACGTAATTAAGAACCAGTCAACCTCTAGGTGGTTCAAACCCAAACTGTTACTTACAAACCACATCGTGTGAACCCAAACAAGTGAACAAGAAATAAACATGAGCCGAACCAAGTAAGTATTGGGCTTTGACAGCATCCTTTTAAAGAAAAGAAAAAGAAAGAAAGAAAATCACAAAGGAAAATTGTGTTAATGCCCCAAAAGCAATATATTCATGTGCTGCAGCTCTTTTACTTTTTCCCTACGTGGTTCAGTCCCAAAAAGTATGACATCTTGTGCTGTAGGCCTCTTTTAGCAATTATTATCAGCCAACTAAGCATAGATAGAGAATAAAAAACACAAAACCCCAAAACCACAAAATGCCCTTATCTCTTTCATGTTAGGTCTACTTAGAACTAACATGAACTCTTATTAGAACTAACATGAACTCCAATTAGAACTAACACGAACTTTTATTAGTTAGAACTAACATGAACTCTTATTAGAACTAACATGAACTCCAATTAGAACTAACACGAACTTTTATTAGAACTAATTTAATTTTACTCTTATTAGAACTAACATGAACTCCAATTAGAACTAACACGAACTTTTATTAGAACTAATTTAATTTTTTTAAGTCTAATTTAAATCATGTTATGTTTAATTACTCTTATTTTAAGTCTAATTTAATTGGACTTAACATGAAATTAGACATAAAAAAGTTAAAATAGACTTAACATGATTGAAATTAGACTTAAAAGGAATTTAACATGATTGAAATTAGACTTAAAATTTCGTGTTATAGGTCTAATAAAAGTTCGTGTTAAGTCTAATTTCATGTTAGGTCTAATAAATTCGTGTTAAGTCTAATTTCATGTTAGGTCTAATAAAAGTCCGTGATAGGTCTAATAAAAGTTCATGTTAGGTTTAATTGGAGTTCATGTTAGTTCTATTTTGTATTTTTGTTAGTTCTAACTCATGTTAGGTCTAATTGGTGTTCATGTTAGTTCTATTTCATGTTCATGTTAGTTCTAATTCATGAATTAGAACTAATACGAACTGAGTTAGAACTAACACGAACACGAAATAGAACTAACATGAATTAAAACTAACATGAGTTAGAACTAACACGCACACGAAATAGAACTAAGATGATTAGATCTAACACGAACTTTTATTAGACATAACACGAACTTTTATTAGACATAACACGAACTTTTATTAGACCTAACATGTAATTAGACTTAACACGAACTTTTATTAGACCTAACACGAATTTTTATTAGACCTAACATAAAATTAAACTTAACACGAACTTTTATTAGAACTAACACGAACTTTATTAGACCTAACATGAAATTAGATTTAACACGAAATTTTATGTCTAGTTTCAATCATGTTAAATTTCTTTTAAGTCTAGTTTAAATCATGTTAAGTCTAATTCAATTTTTAAGTCTAATTTCATGTTAAATCTAATTAAATTAGACTTAAAATAAGTTAAATTAGATATAACATGATTTAAATTAGACTTAAAAGGAATTAAATTAGTTCTAATAAAAATCCACGTTAGTTCTAATTAATTGGAGTTCATGTTAGTTCTAATAAGAGTTCATGTTAGTTCTAAATAGGCCTAACATGAAAGAGATAAGAGCATTTTGGGGTTTTGTACTTTTTATTCTTTCTCTATGCTTAGTTGGCCGGTAATAGTTGCTAAAAGAGGACTGCAGCACAAGATGCCACACTTCTTGGGGCTGAATCACATAGGAGAAAAGTGAAGAGTTGCAACACATGAAGATATTGCTTTTGGTGCATTGATTGACACAATTTTCCCTTGTGTTTTTCTTTCTTTCTTTTTCTTTAAAAGGATGCTGTCAAAGCCCAGTACTTACTTGGTTTGGCTCATGTTTATTTCTTGTTCACTTGTCTTTGGGTTCACACAATGTGGTTTGTAAGTAACAGTTTGGGTTTGAACCACCTAGAGGTTGACTAGTTCTTACGTGCACGAGCTAAAGCACTGGGGAAATCAACGACAATAAAATAAGAACGAAAAAAAGGAGAGAGAGAGAGAGAGAGAGAGAGAGAGAGAGAGAGAGAGAGAGAAGAGTCCTTTCATTTTAGGATTAGTTAATTGCACACAGATCCCTTGCAATATCGCAATTGAAAACTCACCTTCTATGTAATTTGAGTGGCAGATATAAACTCACTAGTTTCACTAACATCCTTAATTATTTGGGGAAATTTCACACGGGATAAAAAAGTCAAAAAAAAATTCATGCGGGATAAATCTACCAAAATCAATTATGTGAATAAGAACTAACATGGGCACCAATTAGACCTAACATGGGTTAGAACTAACACGAACACGAAACAGAACTAACATGAACTCCAATTAGTCCTAACATGAACTTTTATTAGACTTAACACGAACTTTAATTAGACCTAACACGAACTTTTTTTAACCTAACATGAAATTAGACTTAATACAAATTTTTATTAGACCTAACATGAAATTAGACTTAACACGAACTTTTATTAGACCTAACATAAATTTTAAGTCTAATTTCAATCATGTTAAATACCTTTTAAGTCTAATTTAAATCATGTTAAGTCTAATTTAATTTTAACTCTAATTTTATGTTAAGTTCAATTAAATTAGACTTAAAATAAGTTGAATTATACATAACATGGTTTAAATTAGACTTAAAAGAAATTAAATTATTTCTAATAAAAGTTTGTGTTAGTTCTAATTGGAGTTCATTTAGTTCTAGTAAGAGTTCATGTTAGTTCTAAATAGACCTAACATGAAAGAGATAATGACATTTTTTGGGGTTTTATATTTTTTATCCTCTCTATATGCTGAGTTGGCGGGTAATAATTGCTAAAAGAGAGTTGCAGTATAAGATGTCACATTTCTTGGGGCTGAACCACATAGAAAAAAAATTAAAAGGGCTGCAACACATGAATTTATTGATTTTGATCACGCCTTCACAAAATTTTCCCAAAACACGAACAAAACAAAGTAAAAAACCTCTTACTTCTAAAGGAAAAGAAAGAAAGAAAAACACAACAAAACAAAACCAGAAAGTCAAGAAAGAAAAACACAACAAAACAAAATCAAAAACCTCTTAAACGTTTTATACTAATAAAATTCAGTACTTCTCATGAGAGAGAGAGAGAGAGAGAGAGCTGCCAAAGACTTGGACTCATGTGCGCTTGCAAAGTAAGCAAAGGCAGTAGCAGCAGATGAGGTGGCGCTTTCCCTCCTGCCCCACTTCCCACGCGCGCCCCCATCACCCTCCCCCCTTGACACGTGTGAACCCCCATCCTTGCATTACAAAGCACACAAGCAATATCAAACACCCCCCTCTCTTTCTCTCTCTACAAGAGTTTATAAAGGAAGGTGGTGGTGTTGATAGCACTAGCTTAGTTTCTTTCTTATTAGTTGTGAGCACATCTTGATCTCTTCACTTTCTCTCTCTACAAAAGATTCTCTTTTGAGTTCTTGAGTTTTGAGAGAGAGAGAGAGAGAGAGAAAGAGAGAGAGAGAGAGAGAGAGAGAGAGAGAGAATGGGGAGGCAACCTTGCTGTGATAAAGTGGGATTGAAGAAGGGGCCATGGACTGCTGAGGAGGACAAGAAGCTCATCAACTTCATACTCACTAATGGACACTGCTGCTGGAGGGCTGTTCCTAAGCTTGCAGGTCTCTTCTTCAATCCTCTCTGGCTATCGATATATGGGGGTTATTCAGCAAATATAATTTACTAAAGAATTTACAACAACATACCTTCAGGGTGGGCTATATACGTGAATCCTATTCTTCCATATATAGTCATGTTTAGAGTTATATTTGCATGCTCGGTTTTCTAGTATTGGAATTTCTTAAGACCAGTATTATTCACTTTCATAAAATGCTTTTGCATGGTCCTTTTTCTTATGAATATGGGATTATATGATACTATTGAGAAGTTTGCGATGGAGTTTGATTTTGCATTTCTCAAGAAATTATCAAATATTGGTTAGTTGAAGAGAATAGCTAGCTAAGGCGGTGAGAAAAAAACTAAAAATTTGGCATCTAATTGTCATTAATTTGATTCTCAGAGAGAAAACAAAAGTGGATTCTTTGTTTTTATTTTATGTACGTATTTTTAAGTACTCTATCAGCTCCTCTTCTTTCTAATTTAATATAATATCAATGGATTGTATGATATTGGGAAGCACTTACTTTCTTTTGGTGATGTAAATGTCATATTTTGGTGTCACACAATAGTCAAAGTGTGGGACAAAAGTATAAAAACTCTTTTATCTTTTCAATTTGATATGCTAGTGGTCACCTTTTTTGCGTTTCTTTAACGATCTAAAAGCTGAAGTTGGTGGTTTCTTCTATCACAGGACTGCTGAGGTGTGGAAAGAGCTGCAGGCTCAGATGGACGAACTACCTGAGGCCTGATCTCAAGAGGGGGTTGCTTTCAGAGTCTGAGGAGAAAATGGTCATTGACCTCCACTCTCAACTAGGCAACAGGTCCCATTTTATCTCCTAATTTCTTAATGAAGTTGTCTATCAAGCGTATGTTCATCTTGTCAATGAGAAAGTACTATATTCTCATGTTGTATTAATGACGCATCAAAGTTATGTTTATCGGCACCGGGCAGCTTTTAATTCAATGAAATTGCATCTGCTCCTTACTTTCTTCCTCTTCGATACAAACATCAAACATATAACTTCTCAAATCGCAATTGTTTATCATTTAATAGTAATTTGTGAGCCTAAAAAGAGAAAATTCAATTTACAAAGTAAGCAGTTAATAATGAATCGCCACCGTCTAAATATATTATATTAAAACCCAGAGTGGATCCAAGCCTCTCTGAGAGCTAGTTCAAATTCATTCTGATCCTTAAATCAATTTTTCTATTTGCAGGTGGTCTAAGATTGCAGCTCATCTCCCAGGGAGAACTGACAATGAGATCAAGAACCACTGGAACACCCACATCAAGAAAAAGCTCAAGAAAATGGGAATTGATCCTCTCACTCACAAACCCATTTCCTCAAGCTCCGATGGACAACAACAAACCCAGGAAAAATCTGCAGCCAAAGATGAGAAAGCAGCAACAGAAGAAGCCCAAACAGTAGGAGAACAGAATCCCATAACTTTGACTGATCCAATTGAGGCTGATGATGGATTTCTGAGCAAATCCCCTGCATTTTGCACTGATGAGGTGCCCATGATCCAGCCTCATGAGATCATTGTCCCTGCTGGACCTTCAACCTCATCATCATCAACCTCGTCATCAAACTCAAACTCAAACTCCGCTTCTTCTTCTTCTTCTTGTTCTAATTCCAGCAAGCCATCAGCAATGGCTGAGGAGATTCAGCTCCCTTGCATGGAGTGGCAAGAGGCAATGTACTTGTGGGGGTTTGATGATTTAATGTGGTGGGATTCCTCTCTCTGCTGTGATGATATTAATGAGGGGAAATTAGCCCTTGATCCTTTACAGTCTCAGAGGAGTACTGCTCTCTTTGATCAAGAGGCTTGGAAGTTTGAGCTCTTTTGATCTGGGTTTTGATCATACAGCGAATAAAAGAATTTGTGGCGGTAATTGTGGAAATCCCAACTCAAATTAGTTTTTTTTAGTGGTAATTATTTGTAGGGTCAGTATCTATGTCGAGAAGAAAACAGAATAAGAGGAGCAGAGGTCATGCGTGTGTATCTTGGTGGCTGTAAATTTTCTTTAATTATTTGGAAATGGATATAGACTTTTATCCAGTTTAAGTGATTGTTTCATTATGTATCTATACTGCATATCCACATACAGTTTAAAAGAACATATGAAGTAGGAGTATCTTTTCAATGTGTATGCTCAACTTGAATGATGAATTCAAAAAGGTAGCAACTAATGTGGCAATGAATCTTGGAGATTTTTATTTTGTACCAGAACAAAACTGGGGAATTGTATATGCGTTAATATTTTTATTCTCAAATAAATAAGTGTTAATATTTACCGAGCTTTTTATTTCATATCTCTCTTTTAGTGAGAGATAGACCCTGATCCTGATGGGGTAAAAACTCGAAAGAAGTTCCATTCACAAGATGTAGATTCTAGTCCAATTAGGTGGTAACAAATTTGAATATCTCAATTTTTACCGTTTATTCTCGATTTCTAAGGTAAGATAAAGGCATGGAAATCAAACTTTTAGGGTTTTTATTATCACAAAGGTTACTTTCAAGATATCAGATGCTTTTCAATATAATAACACAAATTCTATGCTACTTTATCCTATATCTTAAATCGAAATAAATGGTTAATATTGAGGTAATTGGATTCTCCCGAATTACCACTAAAATGAATTCTATGCTACTTTATCCTACATCTTAAATCGAATTAAATGGTCAATATTGAGGTAATTGAACTCTCCCGAATTACCACTTAAATGAAGAGATAGAGGATCTCTATTTTAACATTCATAGACAATAACGACATGTCAATTAATTCAGAGGTAGTTTAATGACGCATGACACATCCGTGTAATTCAGGGGAGGATGTAAATCCATATTTTAATTACTTGGAAAGGTAGCTATTTCAATTTTCATTGGGTTGTTATATTAGTTTAACCATTTTTTGGAAAGTAAATTCTATTGGATTTCATCCTTTTTGTTAGTTCATTCACTGATCTTTGGAGAAAGCGGTGGCAGCGGGAGGTCACCCTCAATGTGCATCATTCCAGCATTCCGTGCGGGGTTCGTGAGGATTCAAAGAATAAATAAATGTTTCAAGTTCTCACAAAATGAGCAAGGAAATGCTATAGGTCTTTACTTTGACCGCCCAAGGTTGACACTATCAAAGACTAAATGTCCAGTGCAGTTCACACGGGCACGTAGTAAAGTCTGGTCTAGGATAGATCCTACGTGTCATTGATGTGTTTTTTTAATCAATCTCTCTATTGTCCGGATATATTGCGTCACTTATTATGAAAGAGTATTGCATATCTTGTTTCAGTGAATGAAATCGTCATGATTAATTAATCAGATGTCATATGCGACGCGTCAATCATAAATGTTGTATTTCAAAACTATAGTAGCAAAAAAAGCTTTGCTACAGGGACCCAAAATATGAGACCAATAGGGAGGACAAGTGAGGTGTCTCCCTCTTATTGGATAATGAGTTGGCCATCATTAATGATACCCAACTCATTATTCAATAGGAGGGGGACACATCACTTGTCCATCCTATTGGTCCCATATTTTGGGTCCTTGAGGAATTTTTCCCTATATTAAGCTTGCTATATCTGTAGTTTTATTTCTGTAGATAGACTCCGGTTAAGTTATATTGACTCTTTAACTCTTGGATAGACTCACTAATTTCACATATTGGCAATATACATCAGCATCTCATCCAAGGCAAAAGAGTCAAAAAAATTTAAACCCAGGGGGTTTATGTTTATCTGCAACCATAAAACAAGAATACTACAGGAAGGCATATGATTAATGAGAAGAAATTGGTGTTTGGGCATGTTAACCTTTATCTTCCTAACGATCGATGTCTTTTTTTTTGGAAATTATATTTTAGAAGTAATTAGTATAAACAATACAAGGATAAATGTGATCGCCTTTCTTTAAAAAGAAAAAAATAAGTATAATCGCCAACTTTAAAATTAATATTTCGACACTTTAAGGTTCATCTTCCAAGCTAACATTTACCATTTTTGTCATATCACGAGGATAAGCAAACTGCTACAGCTTTCTCAATTTCTCTTTCCTAATTGTTCTTACATGAAGGGAATAAATGTAATGACGAACAAGACATGAACATGAGATCTACTGACTACTACAAGTGGCGGATACACATGGAAGCTTCGTGAACAGTTGCACCCCTGATTCTATGAAAATTTACATTCTAAACGCTTTCAAATTTTAACCTATTTAACTTGAGAATTTAACCAGTTTATCAATAATGTTGTCTTGTAGTATTATACTTAAATTTTGGATAAATAGATATGTATGAAATTAATTTCTTTGGATCGGCCACCGTCTCTAATTGCCTGTGTACGTATACATCTGTATGAAATGAATCTAGCCTATACATTGAGCACCCTCAAAAGTCAAGCACCCTCTAAATTCAAAAGCACGCATAACCGATCACATGTATATATATATATATGTGCACACCTCATACAACCTAATGTTTACCATTATATACGAATCGATGTGGAATATGCTACTATATTACGTTACCAAGTACAAGCATGCATCCAAGTCCACTGATCCCAAACAAAATCAAGGAGAGACCATGAAGACAGTTTGACAAAAGACAAATGCATGCAAGTGCAAAGACCCCACTCAAGGCATTTACTTGACTCGATCCACAAATTTAAATAAATAAATATATATAAATAAAAAGCAAGATAGCGGCTAGTTTGATTTTTATTTGGGTTGGCTGAGCTAAGCCTCTCCTTTTACTTTGAGTACGCGCCAAAGACCTCACCGACGACTTTGAACTCTAAAACGCGGTTCGTGAGGATAATACGGACAGAGAGAAATATGGAGAGCCTCGTACAATTTGAGTTTGGGTTTTTGTCATGTTGAACCCCTAAACCTTTGATAACTCTATACCGTAAACGCCAAATCTTCATATTGTTAAATTAGATCTTGAAATCTTCATCTGTCCAAATCCTGTCGAGCAGATCGATCGTCGGCGATGCCCTACATCGCACCGCACTGACTGGGCCGTAGTCCGTGTGGCCTATATAGACAGGTGGGTTCACAGGTGGGATTTCATACAGGATACGAGACCCACAGCTGTTGACTATACCGCGTATATGCATTGGTATTGGGATATCACACGTAGATGGATCACGCGTGACCCACAGCCGTCAGCTGGACACATGCCACGACCACCGACAGATAGTTACATCCCTAGTGGGATGAACGAGAGAGATTACGTAAGTTTCTAAGCTAAATTATAATATTTTTTATTGAGTTGATACTTAATAAATTGTTTACCACGCAGGTCCGTGTTTTAGATAGCATTGATGCTGATATTGATGCGCACGTGACTGAGATTCAGGATCAGGTGGCGTTAGGGCTCCTCAGCAGGATCAAGAAGAGCATAGCGCAGGTGTTCCATAAGACTCACGTCGACGAGTTCGCAGGCCGTGAGGACAGGTCTCGATCATTTGGACGGGCGTACGCTCGACGTCGACGGCCGCGTGATGATGACGCCGGCACTTCGCATGCCGATGGAGCCGGCACTTCGCATGCCGATGAAAACTCTACAACTCACACTCTTGCAATCACACTCTACACCCACTAAGTGTTGGACCTAGCCGTGTCTCCCTCAAGTGCTCGGTTACAACCTCTCCCTAGGCTCGTCAACCGACGCCACTCCTCTTGGAACGATCCCCGACTCTCACCACACTCTCCTCTCGGTGTACAAGTATATTACAAAAAGATTCTCACGATTAGGCTCAAAATAACAAGTGATTGTTCTCCAATATGAATGAGAACACAATGAAAGCTCACACTCAAAGTTACAATTCTCATCAACCCAAATATATTATGAATGCAAATACACTAAGCTCAAGTGGGTGTGTGTAAACAATGAGTGAAATCAAAATCAAACTAAACTCAATATAAAAATCTAGCTTAAGAACAATGATAATCAAACAAGTATATAAATGTAAAGCTAGAGTTTGAGTTTAGAAAACTTCTCAAATAGATGACAAGATGAAGAGATGGAGATTGGAGCCCAAACAAGAAGATAATCTCCTCCACTTGTGAAAACCAAAATAGCTTTAAACCAGACCCTTAAACAAGCTTAAAACAAGCTTAAACTCTTTTTAAAACTCTTTAAAACATTCTCTTGGGTTGCTCTTAGAACTGAGATCAAGGGGGTATTTATAGCCTCCCAAAACCTCAGCCAAAAACCCCAAACAAAAGACCAAAAAGCCCCAGCCAACGGTAACAGGAAATAGCCGTTGGAACAGAACTGACAGAGCGGCGGGCGACCAAAAAAATTCACGGTCGACCACGATCCAGATCCCAAACTGAGAAAACGAGCAGAGACTTCTTCGGTCGACCGGTGCGGTTGACCGTGGGAAGTATCGAGCTGTCGGTCGACCGCAGCGGTTGACCGACAAACTCTCTACTGCCCACTGATGAATGAACACAGGTGCGGTCGACCGGTGCGGTCGACCGAGGACTGATACATGAAAATGAAGTCTGAAAACTATTTTTCTGATTTTAAAACACTGTTTAAAAATATCAAATAAATTCCAAAAAATGTAAAACTTTGGGGAATGATTGTAGACATGATAATAAACATGCTACAATGACTGATTTCCAAAAAGGACTTCTCAAATAAAAAATATTATCATTTTTACAAAATAGGCCAAAACATGAAAATGTAAACATGTGAATTTTGACATTTAGGCTAAACCATGTTTTGAAACTTTGCACAATGATTATGTAGACTTAATAACATATGTATATGATTATTGTTAAGTCCAAAAACTAAGAATACAGAATTTTCACAGAATTACATATTCTATGCAATGTTTTCAAAAACACAATAGTAAATATGAAATATGTGATTTCATATTATAAAACATGAAAACCCACTTAACACACATAATATAAAACCTATACTAAGTTACCCAAGCTAGATCTTGATCTTCAATAAGATCGACTTGGTACACTTGCGGATGAAGCTAAACTTGGATCTTGAACTAGAATTGCATAAGCTTCACCGACATTCCACCAACCTCCTTTGGATA